AGAGTCCATAGTAATAAAAGAGGACAGCATACAAATTTGGCAGCCAAAGAGTTCCACTCCACGTAATACTCCGATTCGGGCCGCAACCCCATTGACAAGTAGAAATTCAGTCGATTTATAGTCAGAATTGCCCCAGGAAATTGCAGACGAAACCGAAGGCACCAAATTTACTGGAACCTACCATGAACCCAGAAAGGAAGTCCAGATCCGTGGAATAGACTGTCCGATACAGACTATCACGCCCCTTACTGATCGGTCACTGACTCCCGAACAATCCGATATGCTGGATGAATTCCTACAAGCCGAACTACCTACCTTTTACGACATACGTGGATCGACCGATCTCGTAGAACATGAGATCCGGCTAGTTAAACCTGAACCTCAGAATCCAAAGATGCAGGAGGTTATCAATGAAGAGGTAGACACAATGTTACAAGAAGGAGTAATAGAACCCTCTAAGAGTCCGTGGAGCTCACCCGTTGTCATCGTAAGGAAAAAGGATGGCAAACACCGATTCTGTATTGACTTCCGCAAGGTTAATGAACTCACAATGAAGGATGCCTACCCTCTGCCTTATATGAATGCCATTTTAGACAAGCTTCGTACCGCAAAGTATATTTCAAGTCTTGATTTGAAGAGTGGCTATTGGCAGGTACCACTGTCGCCCCGAAGAAAACCGATAACCGCGTTCACTGTGCCAGGAAGGGGACTCTTCCAATTTCTAGTCATGCCTTTCGGCCTTCACTCAGCTCCAGCTACCTTTCAAAGACTAATAGACCGAATTATTGGGCCTGAGATGTACCCGCATGCTTTCGCCTAACTAAATGACATTATCATTCTAGGTGAAACTTTTGAAGATCATCTAGCTAATTTAAGAGAAGTCTTCCGACGCCTAAGAGAGGCAAAACTTCAAATAAATTTTGAAAAATGTCATTTTTGCTTAACGAGCATCAAATATCTAGGACACATAGTCACTGGAGATGGAATAGGCACCGACCCCGAAAAGATAGCATCAATTGTGCAGTTCGAGGCACCTAAAACGATCCGTGAATTGAGAAGATTTTTTGGGAGTTGCATCCTGGTACCGCAGGTTCGTCCCGTCCTTCTCACGGGTGGTAGCTCCACTCACAAAGCTACTGCGAAAAGCCTACAAGTGGCGCTGGGAGGAAGAACAAAAAACCGCCTTCCGAAAATTGAAGACTATTTTGACTGAGGCACCGATACTCCGTTGTCCCGATTTTACCGTACCGTTCACGTTACAAACTGATGCTTCTAATCATGGTTTAGGAGTAGCGCTGACACAGAAAAAGGATGGCATCGACTATGTCATTGTGTGTGTGTGTGTGTGTGTGTGTGTGTGTGTGTGTGTGTGTGTGTGTGTGTGTGTGTGTGTGTGTGTGTGTGTGTGTGTGTGTGTGTGTGTGTGTGTGTGTGTGTGTGTGTGTGTGTGTGTGTGTGTGTGTGTGTGTGTGTGTGTGTGTGTGTGTGTGTGTGTGTGTGTGTGTGTGTGTGTGTGTGTGTGTGTGTGTGTGTGTGTGTGTGTGTGTGTGTGTGTGTGTGTGTGTGTGTGTGTGTGTGTGTGTGTGTGTGTGTGTGTGTGTGTGTGTGTGTGTGTGTGTGTGTGTGTGTGTGTGTGTGTGTGTGTGTGTGTGTGTGTGTGTGTGTGTGTGTGTGTGTGTGTGTGTGTGTGTGTGTGTGTGTGTGTGTGTGTGTGTGTGTGTGTGTGTGTGTGTGTGTGTGTGTGTGTGTGTGTGTGTGTGTGTGTGTGTGTGTGTGTGTGTGTGTGTGTGTGTGTGTGTGTGTGTGTGTGTGTGTGTGTGTGTGTGTGTGTGTGTGTGTGTGTGTGTGTGTGTGTGTGTGTGTGTGTGTGTGTGTGTGTGTGTGTGTGTGTGTGTGTGTGTGTGTGTGTGTGTGTGTGTGTGTGTGTGTGTGTGTGTGTGTGTGTGTGTGTGTGTGTGTGTGTGTGTGTGTGTGTGTGTGTGTGTGTGTGTGTGTGTGTGTGTGTGTGTGTGTGTGTGTGTGTGTGTGTGTGTGTGTGTGTGTGTGTGTGTGTGTGTGTGTGTGTGTGTGTGTGTGTGTGTGTGTGTGTGTGTGTGTGTGTGTGTGTGTGTGTGTGTGTGTGTGTGTGTGTGTGTGTGTGTGTGTGTGTGTGTGTGTGTGTGTGTGTGTGTGTGTGTGTGTGTGTGTGTGTGTGTGTGTGTGTGTGTGTGTGTGTGTGTGTGTGTGTGTGTGTGTGTGTGTGTGTGTGTGGGTGTGCGTGTGCGTGTGCGTGTGCGTGTGCGTGTGCGTGTGCGTGTGCGTGTGCGTGTGCGTGTGCGTGTGCGTGTGCGTGTGCGTGTGCGTGTGCGTGTGCGTGTGCGTGTGCGTGTGCGTGTGCGTGTGCGTGTGCGTGTGCGTGTGCGTGTGCGTGTGCGTGTGCGTGTGCGTGTGCGTGTGCGTGTGCGTGTGCGTGTGCGTGTGCGTGTGCGTGTGCGTGTGCGTGTGCGTGTGCGTGTGCGTGTGCGTGTGCGTGTGCGTGTGCGTGTGCGTGTGCGTGTGCGTGTGCGTGTGCGTGTGCGTGTGCGTGTGCGTGTGCGTGTGCGTGTGCGTGTGCGTGTGCGTGTGCGTGTGCGTGTGCGTGTGCGTGTGCGTGTGCGTGTGCGTGTGCGTGTGCGTGTGCGTGTGCGTGTGCGTGTGCGTGTGCGTGTGCGTGTGCGTGTGCGTGTGCGTGTGCGTGTGCGTGTGCGTGTGCGTGTGCGTGTGCGTGTGCGTGTGCGTGTGCGTGTGCGTGTGCGTGTGCGTGTGCGTGTGCGTGTGCGTGTGCGTGTGCGTGTGCGTGTGCGTGTGCGTGTGCGTATGCGTATGCGTATGCGTATGCGTATGCGTATGCGTATGCGTATGCGTATGCGTATGCGTATGCGTATGCGTATGCGTATGCGTATGCGTATGCGTATGCGTATGCGTATGCGTATGCGTATGCGTATGCGTATGCGTATGCGTATGCGTATGCGTATGCGTATGCGTATGCGTATGCGTATGCGTATGCGTATGCGTATGCGTATGCGTATGCGTATGCGTATGCGTATGCGTATGCGTATGCGTATGCGTATGCGTATGCGTATGCGTATGCGTATGCGTATGCGTATGCGTATGCGTATGCGTATGCGTATGCGTATGCGTATGCGTATGCGTATGCGTATGCGTATGCGTATGCGTATGCGTATGCGTATGCGTATGCGTATGCGTATGCGTATGCGTATGCGTATGCGTATGCGTATGCGTATGCGTATGCGTATGCGTATGCGTATGCGTATGCGTATGCGTATGCGTATGCGTATGCGTATGCGTATGCGTATGCGTATGCGTATGCGTATGCGTATGCGTATGCGTATGCGTATGCGTATGCGTATGCGTATGCGTATGCGTATGCGTATGCGTATGCGTATGCGTATGCGTATGCGTATGCGTATGCGTATGCGTATGCGTATGCGTATGCGTATGCGTATGCGTATGCGTATGCGTATGCGTATGCGTATGCGTATGCGTATGCGTATGCGTATGCGTATGCGTATGCGTGTGCGTGTGGGTGTGTGTGTGTGATATTTCGATTTTTGGATTTTTCGATTTTTTTATTTTTCGATTTTTCGATTTTTTTATTTTTTGATTTTTCGAGGGGCTAGGTTTATTTTCGTTACGGAATTTCTTGATTCGGTCGCCGCCCTTAAAGCCCGCGATAAAATCTGTGCAATAGCTTAATAATGAAATAGTTAACACTGATAAAATAAACATTAATATTTTTTCTACACCCGTATTATAATAATGCACTTATATGCCCATTACGATACAGATTTTTAATCAATAGAAACCTACAATTTTTTAATCAAGCATGCTGTTTGATGTTTGTCCTAGGTACCTATGTAATTGTTTTAGTTGTCAAAACGTATTAAATTTTCGTAGATAGCTAAACTTCGATAATTATAATATTCAAATGTCTGATATCAGCGATATAGAAGACTCCTCCACACATCGAAGAAAGCAGAAAATATAGTACAAAATATTTTGCTGCAAAAATCTAGGGAAATGCCAATACCCGAAGTAATACCATTAATTACAATTTTGTAGAATTTTTTATAGAAATACGAGTAATTACTGTTATTGTGTTCAATACTAATATAAATATAATATTTATAGGTCTTGATTATTTATCGGGTGTAGAAAAAATAGCGTATGCAACTCTCATGTATGGTTATTAAAACACTTGCATAAACCATACGAAACTCTCCTTTGGCTTGTTTCGTATCCCGGTTAATGCTTGTGTATTAATAACCATCATTACATGATCGTTGCATCTTATACTATTATAAATCTTGAATAAAAAAATTAATATCTAATATTTACGCCAGCCGGGAACATTTGTAATACCAATTTATTAGAAGCCAGAGAAAGCTCTTCTAGTTCTTGTATTGCATAAACGTTCCAGTCCGCAGACGTATATTTAACTCCGCTTCATACTAATACGTATAGGGTCGGATAAAACCTTCCACGGCTTTCAAAACGCCGCACCGCTGTGCCGGTCGGAGTGGGGGGTGTTAGGTTTATTTTCGTTACGGAATTACGAAATTTCTTGATTCGGTCGCCACGCTCAAAGCCCGCGATAAGAGCTATTCAATAGCTTAAAAAGAAGACAATCAGGCTGTCCCGGTCCTAGTAATCAACATAAATAAAGTCACGTAAGGTAATCGATTAGTTTTTATTGTAATCATCCCCTTAAGTACCCAACCACTGGGAAATAATCAACATCGCCTTATTATAGGTCAGATACACTTAAAATATTGTTTTTATCATGTTTTAATTCAAAACCCTCTACATGTGTATCAAATGGTATAATAAGTAAAAAAACCTACTTTGGAGAGTGATCGTAGAAAAAATCATTTAGACCTTTCATTACTGACTTTGAAACAAAGCTTGAGTAGAATAACACCAATTTTAACGTTGTCAAAAAAATACTAATTTTTTACATTATTTTTATTTATTAACAAACATTTAATACATATACTTTACACAGGCAAAAAATATCAAAACATAAATATATTTATTAAAAATGTAAGCAGATAAATTATGAAACGAACATTCTTTTTTACAAAAACAATGTTCTAATAGTTTCAGATACTATTAACTATATTTAGAAGCCACGCGTTTCATTTGAACCGATTTTGATAGAACATTGTATGATAAAGAAATGAAAGATAGGGAAATAAAAATGATGTATATCTCGCAAAAAGAATGCGAAAGAATGGCGGAGAACATAATTTAATATTCTCATCAGCAACTTTATAATTCAATATAAGGATATTTGGATGCCGAATATTCTGTTAAGTTTTCTCGAGAGAAGTTCTTAAATTTTCTTCTAAGTTTGGGATAATCATCTAAAATAAGCAAAATCGTGGATTTTTTTAACATAAATACCTCACAGGGAGTAATAGCAACGACAGAATGAGTTCTTTTACCCTCAAAATACATGTCTACATCTCCAAAATAATCTCCGTCCTTCAAATGACATACTTCTTTGTTGTGCTCATTATATACAGCAACGGTGCCGTAATAAATAAAATACATACTATCGGCATGATCTCCAGCTACGATTATCACATCATCAGGCAGATATATTTCTGATATCAAATTAGCAACAACTTTGCAAAGGACCAATCGAGGTAGCGATTTTAAAAAAGCCGTCTGAGCTAAATTCTTCTCAGCAATGTTCATCATTACTTCCTCCTTTATAGCATTCGATAAAACTGAATTAATTTCTGCTTCATTGAAGAACTTATTTTGATATTTAAACTTGAAGTACAACCAAATTTTTTCTTTAATATTAACCGGCAAAACTTTATACGTCATGTACTGCTTAATTTGCTGCATTAATTCATCGTACTTTCTTTTAGCGCTGTAAAATTTGTTCCAAACTTGAAAGCACTCTACATGCAAGAATAAACTGACAACGAATGCTAAAAGGAAACTTACGATTATCGTCATATGCACAGTAATGTTGTGTAATGGCTTTAAACCGTGCGTAACCAAACACAAAATCAAAGAAGCTGATAAATAATCCTTTGCAACATTTGATTCCTTTTTTACATTAAGATAGTAATCGATATTGTGATTAACAACAAATAAGACAGAATGTAAGAATAGCATTGTCAAAACGTAAAGTAAAATGGCCTTGAGAGCTTTAAATGTATGATCAGAATATTCCTGAGTTTCTTTAATAAGTTCTATCGCTTCCAAAAATCGATTAATTCTTAAAAATCTTAGCATTCCCGCAAAAGTAGCTATATCCAAAAAAATCTCTTGTTTATAAATTGGTAAGTCCATGACACGTGCAGTTAAAAAACAAACAGAAGGGATTAACGAGAGAAAATCAACTACAAAATATGTCTTTAAATATTTCCAAAATATGGTATAAAGGTCGAGTACACTCTTAGATTTTATAGGATCATAGTAACCTTCAAAAAATAGTTGGATCAAATCCACAAAAAAGAAAGCATCTCCTACACACTTGGCTATATTCACATTAAAATAATTTTCATAATCGTTCAGGAAGAGGGAATTCAAGCTGTACACAAATATCATATAAAAATACACAAAACACATGACATACTCCCAAACTAGATTAAATTTGCTGTAAGGATGAATCGTAAAAGGATATCTTGCTAGCTGTCTTGCTTGTTCATTCTTCTTGGCTGCATCTGATCGATAATTCTTTTGCGCCCGAGGATGTTCAGGATACAAAATTCTTTGTCTACTGCACCATCTTCTCAATTTGATAAAAATACCACCTTCAATGGAGTAGTTGATTATATCGTCATCTTCGCGGCCTGTTAGAAGGTCACATTTGGTATGACCAAAGTCAGAACGGTTAAACATTTCTTTGTAAAATGAAAATCAACAATTTGACACATTCAATCAGCGTTACTAGGGCAATGAAATAGATATTTTAAGAGCATATAACCACAGAATACTTTTACAGAAGAGAAGGCACGTCAATTTTTGGGGTCCAAAATTTTTTGCGCATGATCAGGGCAGCCATTTTATAACCGGCAAAACTGTCATGTCACGAGTGTTGTTTTGATGTGTCAGGATCAGTCATTTATAATTTATGATTTTTTTTTATCGAATTTAAGTGTATTTTAGTGTTTTCCTTTGTATATTTTTTAACAATTATTGAGTAAATCTGTGTTTAGTGCTTTCCTTTGTCTATTTTATGAACATTGTTCAGTAAACATGTTTTTAATCGAAGACTTTTTGTGGTATGTGCTGAGCTATTTACATATTTTTATTTATTTTATTAAAGCAAAATAATTTTTTAGTGAACTAATGGAATATAAAAGAAAGAGATGTGTTTATCGCCCATGTCTACCTCGAACGGATTCGAATACTAGTTATTTTTCATTTCCCAAAGTTTCATAAAGGTATGCAAAATAAATTATGCAATTTAAATGACTATGGAGCAGAATCCCATCGAGAACGGCTTCGAGTAAAATGAGTAAAACGAGGTACTTTTCAAATGCAGCAATGTTAACTGTATGTTATTTATTTGGCTATTTAATCAAAACAATTATTTTATTATCATTTTTAAATCAAATTATATTTATGTACCTATGACAATGTATTTTGTATTTTTTTAGGTTTCCCATGTTGTTAAGAGCCTGTAGTCAAGAAGACTTGATTAATATAACCAGTGAATAATTACACAAAAGCTACCAGTTGTGTAAAAAACATTTCCAGCCTAGTAGTTTTTCATTTGGATCAACTCGGAAATGTTTATTTGAAAATGTACTTTTGACAATATTCTGACACACAAATAATTGATCATTCTGAATGAATCTGTACCCTACTAAATCCCACGACGATTTTCTCAGTACACCAGGTATTAAACATAATATAAAAGTGTTGTTTTTAAGTATTTTTTTAATTTAAATATTTTTTTAGGTCCCAGCAAAAGAATGACTAACTTTGAAGATTGAAGAGATATTGTTGTTTCTATTTTGATAATGCATGTGCCAGTCCCAAAAATATCCTTCGGTTGGGCCACAATTTTTAAACCAACCATTTTCAGATTAGTTAAATCTCAAGCGGAATTTAAAAACAAAAAGCCTCTAGCTAGAAGACATTCCAATGAATACAAGCAGTTTGCGCTTACCTTGTATTTTTTAGGACCTAGGGTATATTCCTTTGTCTAAAATTTTGTGCCTTTTGATGTGCAGGTATTTTTCATATTGATATTTTTATTAATCTGATTTTTGTAATATGTGTTTTTCGTATTTTGGTTTATTAAAATTAATAGTCAGTATGAGTACGTGTTTTATTTATAACAACCTTTTTCCTACAGTACTTTTCTTCAAATCTCAATTTAATTCATAGTTCTAATAATTATGCATCTAAAAATGCAAATTTATGTATACAACAAATTCATATGATTTATAAACAAATCCTAAGTCGTCTGGATTTATGAAATACAGCTACGCGGATGTGCCATAATATAAGTTTTCCAAAATAAAGTCCTAAGATGTATCATTGATGCACCCTGGCTCTATCTAAACGATTATCTTCATACAGACAAATAAGAAAAAGAGGTTACTGAAAAACATGAGGGTCGACTCCACTCCCACGTTAATGAAGTGTTGCAATTACTGGACAACTCTGCACAAAGGACTCGAAAGAAAAGCCATTTGAGCTAGTGCTAATGTAAAACCAACGACTACTAGATTAATTTTGTTTACAAAAATGGAATTGTAAAAAATCACAGATTTATCCACAGAGTTGTCAAATTATTATAAGAGTATGGCGAAAGTCTTAATACAAGGATTGTTTATGGTATTATTGACATATAAGGTTCTAAAACACATAAAAGGCTTTCAAAATGACAGTTCGGAAGTATTTGCATTTTTAATGCCAGTTATTATCAGTTTAATCTATTTTTCTAGATCCAACTATCATAGTTGAAGGTATTTTTCAGGAAAGTATACAATTAATTAATACATCCATAATTTGTAATAGAATCCCTCTGTTAAAGAGTTAATGTTATCTAAAAAAAACTGATGAATTCAGTACAACGAGCATTCGGTCTGGTTCCTCAAGTAAAAATTCTTTCTTAGTATAGCGATCAGTACAATTTACTTCAAAATAAATTATTGTGAAGCCTTATTTTTTCTAATTATATCACTAACCTTCAATTCAGAGAAGAAATAGTGGATGTTGCTAAATAAGTTTGTTACATATATTTAAATCCTTTTCTCAGTGTATTATCCGAATTTATAAGAATCTTGGTAATTTTTACCAGTGTAACAACCGGCAAGAACATCAACTGTCAGCGAGTGTCACTTTAAATTTTGGCCACCCCGACATCAAACGTGCCGACGCAAGCCTTCATTTCTGTAATAGTGGTTATTCTGTGATAAAACTTTGAAATCCGTATTTAATAACGTTTGAGTGTCGAGGGTAAATGCCTATGCATTGTGTTATGTTGGAAATGGGATGTTAATATACTGCGACCTAAAAGATCTATTGTGTCCCCCTTTGTCGCTAATGCAGCAAGGAAATATCTCGATGCCTATAACGACCCTTCCAATCCTGGCTTCTCAGGGAAATGTAGGATTTGGAGTGGCTTCAAGTGAGGAAAATCTCCCTCTTCTATTTGATATGATCCTAGGTATAGTGCCTTTGGATTCTGGAGTGCTACACATTTAGTCAGAATATGAATGGAAGTTTCGTTCCCCTCCTTATAGAATCTGCACTTACTATATTCAACTACTCTCAGTTTACTAAGCTATCCTTTGAGTCGGCAATGCCCGGTAGCGTAAATAGAAAAGCTACTTCAATACATCCCCTAGGCAGTGACCAACAAGACTAGGGTTTTTATGCGTTATTCGTACAAGTTATATAAGAAGAAACGCCGAGTCTATTAAAATATAAAACCGTAAACGGCGCAAACTGTTAACTTTGCATTTATTATTATCATTAAAATTATATTATAAAAATTCATTCCAGTTTAGATTGTTGTAGAATAAAGTCATAAATAAAGTCTCTAATCTTCGAAAAGTAAATTTTTGTTTTTTTAAAAAATTATTTTCGAGTTAAATAAATTTAACTGGCGCAGTCGTAGTAGGATCGACACAGTATTTTCGCGAAAAGCCACGGCATCGGGTCCGATTTTCCGAAATTTACGTGAGTTTCAACTCTTTGGTGTCGAGAACTTTCCTGTGGGAATCTACCCTGGAGACGGAGGCCTGCTGAGCTGGAATCATCAGAAGAAGTTCAAGTAAGTACTGAGTACTCCTTTTATACTTCCTCTCATTTTACACTTAGTTTTTGCGAATTTTAGAATAGGTTAAGTGAATAAATAATTTTTTTTTGATCGAAAGAAAATAAAAAAATATATACTTAGATATAGATTTTTGTATGAACAATATAGATAATTTAATCGCAGATTTTAATAAAAAAATAAATATGGTGGATGGAAACCAATTAAATGCAAATCAAGCAAACGTAAATCAAATAAATGCAAATCAAGTAAATATTGATATGTTAAAATTACATGTCGATACCATTCCCATGTTTGATGGGGATGAAAATAATTTAGCAAAATTTTTAAATAGTTGTGACTTCGTAGTAAACACATATGCAAATGTAAATGATCCGGCAATTCAAAGTTATATTCTTCAGGTAATAAAATCGAGATTTGTAGATAGAGCAAATTTATTGGTCGGTTCGCGAAATGAATTAAATACTTGGAATTCTATTAGAGAATCATTACAACAATGCTTTGGAGATAGACGATCTTTAGAATGTCTTGAACAGGATTTGTTAACAGCACATCCACAAAGAAACGAACAACCAATAGATTTCGCCCGAAGGTTACAAATTTTGAGAAGTCACTTGATCGGTAGAATTAATAACTTTACAAATGCTGAAATTCCTTTACATACTAAAGAGTCATACAGAAGGCAATATAATCAAATGGCGTTGAGAACCTTGTTAAGAAATCTCTCTGGTAACTTACAAAATATCATTAGACTTAAAAATCCAATCAATATAGAACAAGCAATAACTTATATAATTGAAGAAGAAAATTTCGCATATTCACAGAATAACTTAAAACAGATTGAAACCCCTCAATACAGATCAAATTCCAATCGATTTAATGATCGTCAAAATTTTAATAATAATCACCTAAATTCTAATAACAATCGCCGACATTTTAGTAATAACCAGTATAGAAGCTTCCCTCAAATATTCCAAAATACTAGAAACCAGCCCGACAACGCTTATCAAAGAAATTTTGCCCCCATACAACTTCCCGTAACTTATCAAAATAACTCATTCCCCAGCCAACCAATTCCTGTACAACCACGTACGATTAATAGATATTATCCAACAAATAGACAGGTATTCGGGCCACCGAAAAATGCATTTGCCCCAACGGGCCAAATACCCCCAAACAGTCCAGTACCAATGTCGACTACTACTCGAAATACCTTCAGACCCAGACAAAATTTCCAAAATTATCAACAACCCATGTCGACAACCACCCAAAATACTTTTAGACCCAGACAAAACTATCAACAAAATTTTGCAACTCAACAACTATTTCAAACAGACAACATAGATTTTGAAAATCCTTTTGAGGAAACTCCTATCGATCAAATCGAATACGAATTTGAAAGTTATTTACCGAATCATCAAATGAATTCAAACTCAGAAAATAATAAAATTCCTATAAATTCCGACCCTAGTAATTTTGAATATCAGCATGCCGAAAATTTTCGGAAAACAGTCAGAGTAAAACAAGGAACATAAACGAAATATTTTCCAATTCATATTCTGCGGATTTGCCATATATAGTTATACAAAATCCACCCTTAAAGCTGCTTATAGACACGGGTAGTATGTCTAGTATGTTAAGTCCAAATATCGTGGAGAAGTATTTCCCAGAAAATATTTACA